CCGTCAAGTCGGATCCCACTCATAGTGACCCCTCCTTGAGTTTCTCAGGTGGTATCTGTACAAAAGTAGATTGCCCAATCTTCCTTCCAAAGAGTGGCTGGTGCATTTGAACCGCCAGCCTTCTGGTTAGCAGTTAAATCCCTTAGGCACTACGCCACCAGAGCTCTCCCCATTATGGACTTACGGATTATTTTTTCAGTGGTTCTGTTCATTGTTTTAAGTTCTGGTGGCGTTGGTAACCAGGAGGTCGGTGGTTTGAATTCACTAGCCGCTCCATGAAAGATTAGTCTGCTTCTGTAAAGATTTACAGCCTTGGAAACCCTATGGGGGTCGCTATGTGTCAAAGTCAACTGGATGGTAATGGGTTTGGTTAATTCGGTTTCAACCAGTGGCAATCCCTTCAGGCCGGGTTCTACTGCTTTGTGATGCATGGGGACTACTTTTCTGAATACTTCCTTTCCTGCCTACCAAGGTATTCCAGGTTCATCTTGTACTTACCCTACCCCAGCCCTGGAATCTAGCCATTTCTCTAGGAGCCTTGGGGTTGTTTTTTTTTTTAGTAGAGGTTTACCTGTGATTTATGTGATACACTCTGGTCATTTTCTCTTTCGCTGAAAATTTGAGCCCCAGACCAAATGGATTTTACAACCCATTTTGAAGACTACTGCCTCAGAGCAACTCACTTCTGTGCCAATGTCATCACTGAAAGCCCAGGGCAGAATGGAGTCAGTCCCTCAGTGAGCTCACATCCCCCGGGAAGTCATGCGGGCCTGTGGACAGTGAGAGGCTGCTCCCCAGTGGCTGGAGCCGAGTCCAGCATTTTGGCAACAAAGAAGACTGCTGCCGAGTTTAGGGCAGCAGCTTTTTTCCAGAGGCCCAAAGGTCTGGCCTGGGAAGTGTATCTAGTCAGGCTTGTCCCTCTCCCCTTGGTGGGGGCTTGGTCATCACATCCCACATCTGTCTCTCCACAGGCCTTGCTGGCTGCCAAGAACTGTGATGGGGCCTCTCCCACAGACCCGAGTACTTGGAGTTCTAAAGAGGAGAGTAGGTGCTCCTTAGTGCAGAACTCAGCTTGTAAGGACTGAGCCCTGGGACCACCAACCCCCAAACCTGACATAAACAGGCATCACTTATTAACAGGGGCAGGTATTTTCAGTGTAACAACCAGCTTGTTCTAAGTATAGCTTGGAAGTTTGGAACTTCTGCAGAGGCCATCAATTCAGAGTCCCTCTTCCTATCTTGTCTGCACCTCCTGCTCCCCCTCCCCCATAACCTCTGTATGAGGGTTTGGTTTGATGCCCTGTGAGCTGGTCCTGTTTTCCTATAGTTTATCCTCCTTCCTACTCAGCTAAATCGGTCTTGCCATTGTACGTATTTCTTCTGGATCAGTGCAGGCTTTTTAATTCTCGCTTGAAGGACAAACCCTGGCCCTGTCAAGTTGTCAACTGCATAAAATGTCCTTTATGTTTAGTGAAATCATCTTGTGGAGTTGGGCATAAAACAGCAGAGGCTAGTTTTCCGTCTTTGCTTTTTATAGAAAGTATGTAAGAAAGTGAAGGTCTGAAACAAACATCATATTTCTAAAGAAGGCAAAATTCTCTAGAATGTAAACTTGAAGATTGATAGAGATACTTAGAAACTGAGGAGTGGGATTGCCATTCCGATAATTTAGTAAATATTGAAAAATTATTGAATGTCTACTAGATTCCAGGCAATGAAGTGTCTCCACTTGTTTCTGTCAGCACTTTCAGAGCTCCTACTGTGCTCCAGGGTGAGAGAGATGATGAACTTTGCCCCATGTAAGTTCCCACCTTATGTCTTCCCTGCCAGTGTCCTACCTCAGGAACTTGGTAGATAGTGGGCCCCAAATTTCCCACTAAACTTACCTCTTATCACGTAACTTGTCAGCTGGGAATAATTTATGGATTTAATGCATTTCAGACAGTCTTTATAGATCATTGTTTCTGTAGTCTGTGATGACAGTTTCTATTTTAATATCAAATAATGCTAGGAGTTTTTAGGTTTGGACATGTAGTCAAAGGATTGAGGAGTAGAGTAGGGATGATAATGCCCATTTCAGAGCTTGGGCAGCCGAGGCCCAGAGAAGAGAAGAATCCATCTGTGATGGAGCTGGACCTAGACGAGGTGCCAACCTCTCAGGCGCCTGAAAGCAGCTGCCCTTAAGAGGCAAGATCTTTTAGGAGATGCCCACAAACACTGGAAAACAAGCCTTCAAAATGTGGAAACCCTGTTACAGGTATCAGGATGGTTCTGTAAGAAAGAAGCTGCAAAAGTATTTGCCCTTTAATCATGAGCAAGATGTCCTGATGATAAGATAATCCCTCTTACACAGTCCACTAATTCAGAAGTGTCCACTGCACTCAATAGGAAAGAATGTAAAATTCATTTCAAAATCATTCAGTTGTGGCTGGTTCCCCTTGCCCACACGTCATTAATCTCTAACGCTCGGTCACGGTCACTGGATTTGGGTAAATCACAGGCCGAGACAAGGCCGAGCAGGCTCCTCCCACTCACTGACCCCGGCATGCCTGCTCTGCAACAAAGGCCTTTGAAGAACCTCAGTCTCCCAAGTCCAGTGGGTGTGGCTTTGTCTTGGTTCCCTCAGCATGGAGGCTGTTTTTCAGAAAGCAAAGAGCAATGAAGCTGGCTGCAGTTGGACAGGTTTTGCAAAGGGAACTCTTTGAGGCCATAGAGCACTTCCTATCAAAATAGGGCATTTTCCAGCAAAGGTCTAAATTGAGAAAATCCTAGGGCTAGTTGGAACCCGAGGTAAACCACTGATGTCCTTTTTAGCCATCTTCCTAAGCGCAGGGCTGGGTGCAAACTTTAGGAACCTCCTGACCACCCCTTTTTGCTCTAAGCTTATGAAGGCTGCCAACCCTCCCGCCCCTTCATTCTAGATCACTGCTTGTTTGCCACACTCATATGACTGCAGTTAAGTGTTAAGTCTCCCTTCTGTGGAAAATTTGGTAATTCACTTCTGATAGGTAAGATTGGCCAGAAAACTCTTGGAAAAAATTCATTTGCAGTTGCTGCCGTTACTCAGTAAAAGCTATGCTCTGAAGGGCAGGGAAGCATGGCCAGCCCCATCTCTGAAGACAACACATACCCAAAAGCTCTTCTTTGAGCCACACCCCCACAGTACTGCAGTCTTCGGGAAGCTGAATGCCCAGGCGATCCCAGATTACGAACGCGTTCATTCCTAAGTCTGTCTCTCAGGTGAATTTGTACTTAAGTTGGAAGAATTAGATATAGTTCATAACCAATGTCAGTAAGTCAAATGTTCACCTTCATACAGTGTAGCTTTCTTTCTATGCATAAAAAGCATTAAACACTTCCAGATACACTAAACATCTCTAAGGTAATAGTAATGTTTCGATGTGTATTACAAAACAGCAGTCCACTGTTAATAAGAACCACTGTATGTACCTTCAATCTTTCATTTAATAGACTTTAAAAAGGAGGTTGGTCCACATCTACATACATAGCTGATGTTCTGAAGTTAGTAACTTGGGGACTGCCTGTATCTGCTTCAATTACAGCCTTTTAAAAATGACCTTGAGCAATGCTTTAAACTTTAGTTAATGCTTAAAAAAAAAAAAAAGAAAGAAAGAAAAAGATGGGATATTAAAGTTTATTTCTAAGAACGTGTGGCTTTGAATATTAAATCTCTTGTACCTACAAATCCCTCCATTGTCTGCATCCACTCAGAGAAACAAAGCCAAAGGAGAATTTCTTGGGAAAGAACTAAGGGATTTCCCCAGATGATCTACTCAAGAACGGAGCATCCCCTGCCCATGTGAAGGGGAAGCCTTAGCAGCAGTTTCTATCAATAATATAGGTGTTCCTGCTACTCTGGTTTTTTAAAAGTGACAGGGAAAAACCTGGTTGAAACGGCAAAATTTTTGTGATACATATATATTATATTCCCCCAGCCCCCCTCAAAAAGTAACAGGGACCAGGGCTTTAGTTCACAACTTTGATGATTACTCACTGTGTGTGTTTAGATTATAAAACCCCCACAATGAATCAGACCTAGTTTCTTAAATAAAAATGGCACATAAAATTATATATATATATATTTTTTTTTTGTTTCTATTTTTTTCCAGTTAACAGTCTTTTAGTCTTAGGTGCATGGACCAAATCCAAGATACAGCCCCCGCTTTACTTCCCACTAAGTAGTACCAAAAATACCCTCCTCCTCCATTCTCTCCTTTGGGAAGCAAGGAGGCTAGTGCAGCAGCTGTCAGGGACAAAGGCACGAGGCATAGGCAGAGCTGGGTAAACTGAGTCATGTGGGACAGGCTGTCACTGGCCCCACCCTACACAGGGGAGGTTCCAGATCACCCTTGAGTTCTCCTGTCCCTTACAGTTATCTTTTAAAGGCACACCCAGGAATGGTGCAACTAAGGGCTGGGGTAAGCTGCACACAGGGGTGAAGAGGTGAGGCTGCAAGACTCCCTGGCACAGAGCAATGAGAGTGCCCCTCCTGCCTTTGCCCACATTGAGGGAGAGTGGGAGGTGGGGCGGGGAGCCTGCTTCTGGGGAGACCTAGGGAGGGGCTTGCAACAAGTAAGACCAGGCTGTGGTCAGTCATGAACGTACATAACAAGTCTTTGGTACTTGTGGGGAGCAGCATCTCCCTTTTGTACAAATGCTCTTGTAGTAAAGCTGGGAAAGCAAGCTCCTGCACACGGCCACTGGCCCGGCTCCTCTCGCGGCACCAGCCAGCTGCTGCCCAGGGGCACAAAGCATAGAAAGTCAGTGTAAACAGCAGTGAAAACACAAACAGACCTTAGAGAGGATTTTCTAAAGACAATTAAACCTTGGAAGGTGAACTTCCCTCCCCAGTTCTATTGAGGAACAGGAGAAACTCCTAGGCTGTCTTCCCAGGGAGTAAAGGAAGGACCCTGTGGGGCCCTGGCAGAGAACAGGGGGAGAGGTTCTGAAGGTTCTGAAGGTCCAGAGAATTGCCCACCTCACAGGCCCCTGGGCTCCAGGACCAGCCAGTTCTCGGTGACCGTCTGTGTGTCCTGGCCACTCAGAGGCTCCCGCAGCCTCACCTTCACCTCCAGCTTCCCCCCAGTGGGCTTCCTTCCGTCCAGGACCTGTGAGGACCGTGCAGAGGGAGAGGGTAATGGGGAACAAGGGGTGGGAGCGTGACTCTCCTCACAGGAAAGGAGGAAGAGGAGCTAAAGTTTCCCACAGTGTTCACAAAGGCATCTCCATTTCATGACTGCCTCTGCCCCCCTGGTGGTGGTTTTCAGGTAAGTCTCATAAAAATATGTAAGAATGCAGATGAGCAGCAGTGCTCTGACTGAAGTGGAGATGGGAGACTTAGGCTCTGCCTGCCCAGTGTTGCCCTTGGTCCTCACAGCTCCTGGAAGAAACACTGGCTTCAAGGAGCAGCCTCGAAACCACTGTGCCAACCTCCGTTTCAGAGGTGGCCTGGCCGCTGCATGGAAAAGCCAGGACTCAGGCCAAGGTTCCTCCCAACCTGCCACACTGGCTCCCTCCTCTCATCAGGCCTGAGAAGTCTGACTACCCTGAAAGGGGCCAACAGAGAAGAGGCCACACTAGGGAACAGGCATGGATGCAGGTGCACAGTACTGGGAAAGACCCCAGCCTGAGAAGGCATCAACAAGGGTCTGGTCCTATTTCTGCCAGAGACACACCATATGAACTTATGTAACACCCTTCCATCTGGGATTTAGTTTGCTCATCTGTCAGGGACAAGCTCTGCCTACAAAATCCCAAGGGAGCTTAAAGAGCCATCTGGGGGTTGATCCCTGAGCAGACTAGTTGCAATCTGCTGGGTCCCTGCTCCAGAAATATTTTCTCAACTGTTACATCAGGAGCTTGGTCCACTTCATATGTTGCTTAGGCATAACCCTGCCAAGGCCTTGCATGTGCCAAGCTGACAGTAGTCACCAGACCTGTTTCAGCACCATCTCTCTAACTGACTTTCCCTGGAACTTGAGGTGATCCAGAATGTTGTGGAGAGAGTATGGTCACTGCCTACCTAGGTGACTCTCTTAAGTTTCTTCATGTTATTATGTGCCATGGAGTCAGACCTGACTCATAGCGACCCCTCCTTGGGTTTCCGAGGTGGGATCACTATGGAAGTAGATTGCCCAACTTTCTCTCTGAGGAGTGGCTGGTGGGTCTGAACTGCCAGGCTTCTGGTTAGCAGTCAAGTGCCTTAGGCACTATGCTACCAGAGCTAAGTTTCTCAGATCTTCTGAATCTCTGCACCGCTGAAATGAGGATACCATCCACTACATGTACACTACAGATGTTTTAAATATTGGGCACAAAAAGCCTACAGTAGGCACTGGTGTCCAATATGTGTTGGCTGTTCTCTTCCAAGTCCTCTGGCATCCCCAGCCCTGGGCCCCTACCTCCACAATCTCTCTGATCTCACACTCATTCTCCAGCCGCTCCAGCTTCAGGTGGGCTGTGCCGACCAGCTTGTCGCTTCTGAAGAAGGACCTGGGGAGCCAAGAGACAGGAGAGGGTTGGACTGAGCGAGGAGGCCGGAATGAACTGGCTGAGCCTGGTGCAGAAAAAACAGTCACAGCAGCAGCAGTGACAACAGAAACACCACTCCTTCCTCTCAGCCCACCTTGGCAGTGTGACTCTAAGGGGCCTCACCCTTTGTGGAAGATTTCAAACTTGATTCCTTTGCTTTGGATCACTCTCCTGAAGCCCCGGTGGTTTCGGTTGATGCTTAGTTTGAAGAGTTGATCAAATTCTACAAGGGGAAGAGAAGGTAAGGAGCGGCTTGGCTTCCAGGATTTCCTGAGAAAGTGGGAAACAGAGGCCCAGGGCTGGCCTTTCTTCTGGATCTCTCTACCTGCATTTCAGATTAATTGCCACCAGGGGGTGACATAATATCTAAGTGCTGGCCTTAGAGTTCTTGCACTTGTAGTTAACATAGTTAAGTGCTTGACCATTAGCCTAAAGGTTTGCGGTTCCAACCCACCCAGAGGTGCTTGGAAGACAGGCCTGGTGATTTGCTTCTGAAAGGTCACAGCCTTTATAACAAAGAGGAAAGGACTTGCAATTTGGAGTCAAGATTCATGGGTTCAAGTCCCATTTCCACCACTTCCTTGCTATGAGATCCAAGGGAAGTCTCTACCTCTCTGACCTTCAGTTTCTCCAGCTACAAAAGAGGACTGGTAATAGTATCTGCCTTTATTGCTCAAGTTGAAAGGAACAAATAAGATCAACAGACATGTAAACACTCTAGAAATAAAAATACACACTGTCGAGAGAGCGAGCAAGCAAGCGAGAGCAAGGGAGGAGGAACCCTCATGTAATCCTCACCTGGGGAGTTTGTGTTCTTCACCACAGCTGTTTTGCTTTTTTGAGCCTGGTCCTAAGAGCAGTGGAAAGGGAGAATTCAGGCTAGTTTTGAAGAAAAAAGAGGTATACAGGGTCAGGGACTCTGGGCTATGTCAGCATCAAGGGAAGAAGCCCTAAAGGTCTTCAAACTCTCCCTAGACCAGGCCTGCCAGGGATGGGGAGAGACTGAGCATAGCATCCTGGGATGGAAGATGGGGCTTCAGAGAATCCGACCTCCACCTGAACCTCACCGAGTTAGGGTAGTGGAACTCAAACCGCACAAAAGCATCCAAGTCATCAGGGGTCACCCCTGTGAGCGAGAAACAGAGTCAGAGGGAAGTGACTGGAGCCCAGTCCTTGATACGGAGGGAGAGGGAGAGTCTCCACACTGGCTGGGGGTGGAGTGTCTCCTGGAGTAAGGGTGGCCCCAGGATTACCTGGAGGGGCTGGGAGGTTCATTCCCCGGACAATGATCAAATGCATTTCTGTGCTGCTGAGTTCTGAGAAGATCCTACAGCCAAGAAGAAAGGAGGAATAGCCAAGACAAGGAGAGTGGTGAACAAGGCCTCTCTTCCAGTATCTGCCAGTGGTGGCCAGAAGAAGTGGGTCCAGAAAGCATTAGCTTATCTCAGCTGGAAGTGGCGATGCTGATACTCAGACCTTGGTTTTCAACCCCTAGTCCAGAGATCTTTCCACACAATTGCACTAGCTCTGAGCTCCACATGGGCAGCCACCTTTTGCACCCCTAACACCTACAGCAGGACCTTGCCTGCAAATATACATAACAAGGGCCAAAGTTTCCAGGCCTGGCTCCCAGCCTCTTGCCCATCCCTATATGGGCCTCACCCAAGAGTTGCTATCTCCCTATAGGCTTTCCACACCTTACAGTCTGGAATGTCTTCAACTCAAAGTGGTGGCTGGGTGGGTCAAGACCCTGGGCCTGGGCCAGCTGCAGGATCTCAAGCTGCTTTTTGCGGTCCTGAGCCAGCTTCTCAAACCTGACAGGGAAGGGTGTGCACATTAGCATGGCAGGGCTCATTCTTTGCTCCCCATCCCACAAGGCCCTAGTCCTAGCCCTTGCACTTACCGAGTGGTCTCAACTACATTGCCCTGGTGCATGAACTGCTTGGAGAACAGCAGGCACTTCTGAAAACAGGGGCCAAGCATGACAACAGAGCTCAGAGAAGGTCCTGCTAAGCTGGCACTCAAGTCCCATTTTCTTAAAGCTCTGACATTCCCTTTCTCCTCTATATGCATACCCCAAGAGCACTGTTCTCAAGTCCTGTCACATTTTGCTGCCTAAGTTTTGCTGTCTCCTCTTCTGATCGTTTTTCCCCAAAATTCACTTGGCAAACTCCTATTCATCCTTCAAAACACAATTCAACCATCAGCTCAGACGACTTCCAGAAGTTTAAGGAGCAGTTTCTGTGCGTGTGTGTGTGTATGTAAATATTCATATATGTACCTATATATATGTCTATAAGCATATAGGGAGCCCTAGTGGTGCAGCGGTTAAGTGCTTAGCTGCTAATAGAAAGGTCAGCAGTTTAACCCACCAGTCATGTGCATGTTGCAGCCTTCTTCTGTAAAGATTAGTCTTGGAAACCCTATGGGGCTTATCCTGTCCTATATGGTAGCTATGAGTCCAAGTCTACTCGGTGGCAAGATTATGGGTTTTAACTTTTGGTATATAAATACCTCTATCTTCCCTATTACTTCCTGCTCCCATCTGCAAAGCACTTTACCCTCTACTTTGTTGTGTGAACTCTGTAACCATCCTGAAAAGGGATTATCATCCCATTTTGCAGATGAGGAAAATGTGGTTCAGAAGGCCAAGTGCCTTCCCCAAGGTCACACAGCCAGTAAGTCAGAGAGCTAGAATCTGAAACCAGGCCTATCTGGTCTAAGTCCTTTCCCCAGAGGTAGGCTGTGGGCACTGAAAGGGGGAAACAGCCAAGAAGCCCACTGACCTCATGCTGCTCCAGAAGCATTTTCTGTAGCTGGGCATATACCTCCTCAGCCTTCTGGGAAAGTCGCAGGTCCTCGTGGTGGATGAGGATGAAGTCACTCTCCTCATCCGTCAAGGGTGAAGGCACCTGCCCAGGTCACAAGGCCCCTCAGGGGCCCCAAGAGTCAGATTACTCCTCTCCTGAGCCCAGCAAAGGCAGGACTCCCCTTCAAATGTTCTTTAGTGTCTACTTACTCCAGCAGTGGAAGCTCACTGCCTTCCATTCTATCCCAGGCTGCTGGAACACTCTACCCCCATCTCCCCACTGCCCTTCCCTGACCTCTCATGGGGCCACAGAGTAGGCTCTTTCCCATGCTGCCACCACAGCCAGGCCAGATCCTACCTCATCTAAGAAGTACCCATAGATCTGTTCTCTGCCACTCACCTTCTCTGCCTGAGAAGCCCTGGTGCTTACCCAGCAAGGACTCACCTTAGAGAGGCTGACAGGGCGGCCAGCTCGGAGCTGCATGATCTGGGCCTCAAGGCCTTTGGCCACCCGCAGATGGGCCTTTGCCTGCTCCAAGTTCTGGCCACGCTTGGCCTGCAGGGCTGCCCGCTGGTACTGCAGTTTCCGTGCCTCTAGAAGTGCCAGCTGCTCCCGCACTACAGGGAGGACAACATTGGTTGGGGCAATGCCTGCCCCCCACTGGACCTTTCACTTCTCCATCCCTCTTCTCCCCAACTCACCAGATGGACTCAGTGACTCCCTAGAACTTGCAGCCTTAGGCTCAGGCAACGGTTGGGATGAAGGGACTGGAGGCTGTGCTGGTTTCTTTGCCACTGCGGCCTGGGCTGGGGACTCATCCTGCAGGTCCCAAAAGGCTGTCATAGGGGGTTCTGCTCTCAGACTTGGGCTCTCTTCTTAACACAACACTAACTTGCTGTGTGATCCAAGATGTATGGCCTCCCCTCTCCGGAGCCTAGAGACTCTCAGGCCTAGAAGTGGCTTTAGAAACTTTCTGGGCTAAACTGCTCCAACAAGAGACAGCAAGCTAACAGAAATCAAACCTGGGTTCTGGAGTCTGAAAGACCTCAGTTTGAATCCTAGCTGGTCATCCTTGGCCAAGATTTTCTTAAAGAACACCTACCTCATTGGGCTTGTTAGTATGGTCAGTATCAAGCACGACATCTGAGTTTACCCTTCATCTGTAGTTTGTTTTTCCCCATGAACCCCTAGGTCTTGGGCTCTCAGCCAAACCTCATCTTCCTCCATTGGGGCTGCATCCTCTGACGTGGCCAGTTTCTGGGCAGCTGCTAGAGTAGCTGCCACTGCATCCTCTGTGGTGCCTGTAGGGGGCTCCAGGCCAGGGATTGGGGGGAATCCTGAGGAAGACAGTGAGCTGGGAGGGGTGGCTTCCACAGGGGAGAGGCAGATACATGACAAATCACTTCTGTCCCCCTTTCTTGCTCAAGAACTTTCTCACAGAGCTTCTAAGCAAAGCTCCACTCACCTGGAGGAACAGGCAGTTCAGCAAAGTCAACTTTCCTGCCTGCTCGGTGCAATCGGATGGCATCTTGATATTGCTGTGAGGAACAGAAAGGAGGGGCTTAGGGTGGGCAGCAGCCAGCAGCCTCCATGCCCACCAGACACAGAGAGAGACAAAGAGGGGAAGACTGAGGAAAAGACAGCTCTAGAGGGAAAAGGGCCCCTGAGGCAATAGGAGTTGAGAGAGACAGAGAGCATCCAGTCTGGGAGAGCCCAGCATAACATGGGACCACGTGACACTGCCCACCTTGGCGATGCGCTCATGCATCCGGGCCTTGCGCTCGTCCCCACTGCCCCGGGCCTGGATGCCCGCCTCCCGGTACTTGTTCAGCCTCTGCTGCAGGGCATCCAGCACTGTCTGTGGCCCTGCAGGGGCCATGTGAACAGGGGAGGGAGATGGCATCAGCTCTGCCCAGCCCTCCCCAGCCCCACCCCCGACAGTCCCTCCAACCTGCCCTACCTGGGGTTGCTGGGGCATCAGGGGCCATCACGGGCTGCACTCGCTCCACCACCGGGGGTATGACTGAGGGTGCTGTGGGGGCTTTGGAAACCTGTGCCATCAGGTCTGAGGGACCCGGAGCAGAGATGTAGGTGGGGGCCCTGGCCAGTCCCCAGCCCTGATACTCCTCCCTAACCCCAATGCCAGCCCGAAAGACTCCCCATCATCCCCATACTGACTTTCAGGTGCTGGAGGCAAGGCACTCAGGTCCACGGGCTGACCCTGATTCAAAGACTCCAAGATGGTACCAACTCTCTACAGAAGGAAGGAAACAACAGGTATGGGGTCCCCTGAGAGCCTGGCTGAAAGCAACGCCCCCTCAGGCGGGTCTCACTCAAGCTCAGTCTATGTGACCTTCTCCAGGACTTGGATCACTCATCTGTGAAATGAGGGCTGGGACACAGGGCCTCTGAGCCAGATGCAATACCTTCCCGATCCTTAAGAGCTCTCGGGCACGATCCAGATCTCCAGCCCGCTTGGCAGTGAGTGCAGCCACCTTGTACTCTTTCTGCCGGGCCAAAAGCTGGGCCCGCTGGTCAGGGTCTACATCCAGTGGGGCAGAAATGGCAGGGCTGCTCAGAGGGCTTGTCTCAGGCTGGGATGGGATGTCTTTGAGGAAACAAGAAGCCCACAGAGAAGTCACAAGCCAAAGAAGCAGGTGCTCACTTTGGGTTCCAGTGCCCATGTGCCCGGTTGGCCTGAAGACCTCTTGGCAAAAGAGCACTGAGGGTGAAGGGCAGTGATGTGAGGGGAGGCAAGCTACTAGCTCTGGCCCTGGGAACAAGGACAGGATTTGGGTGTCTTAGATACCTGGCTCTGCAGCCGGGGGCGCTGGGGCATCTGCATCAGGGCTCCTGTCAACTACTTCCTGGGAGGCCGGGGGCCTCTTGCCCAAGGCTACTGGAGGTGGGATCTCATCTTCATTGATCTTCCTGCCTTTCTTCACAGCTGCCAGCTGGGACTCCAGAGTCTGAGGGAGAAGAACCAGTGGAGAAGCCCAGCCAGCCACCTCAGCTCTAGGGTAAGCCAGACCTCCATCACCTCCACAGGGCCAGTGGGGAAGCCTCCGCTCCACTGGCCCCACCTTTTCCAGCTCTATCACCCACTGTCCTCAGCCCTACTGCCTGGCCCTGCTCCCCAGTGGGGCTCACCTACCTTTAATCCACGCTCACAGCGCCTCGCCTTGGCTGCTTCCCCTGCCTCCTTGGCACTGGCCGCTGCCGCCTGGTAGTTGTGGATCCGCTCCACCAGCAGAGCCTGCAGTCCCTCAGACCTTCCAGACTGTACACATGTCACCTCAGGGCCTGGCCACTCGAGGGCCAGCAAGGACCTTGCCACTCCCTCCCTGCCAGGGAACTGCCCCAGAAGATGGTGCTCTGGGACTCAAGGAAAAGGAAGGGCCTAAAAGCCTCAAGGTAGAAAGCAGAGATTCACTGAAGAGGCCAAAGGCCATGACAGAGGCAAACACAGAGGCCCAGACAATCGGCGGAGGCAGGAAATGGCCGAGGGGGGTAGTCTGGGAGAACAGAGAGGCCATTGAGGCCGGCCAGCCACAAGGAGTTTTTCTTGCTGGATTTCTGCTCAAGGCAGCTGCTGGAAGGGGCCGTGGAAGGGGCCTCTCCAATCTGGTTATGCAAGCCATGCATTGTGCGTGCTCACATGGACAGCGAGGGGCCCCTCCATAGCCTACCTGAGCCGCTGGGACTGGAGCTGTTAGGAAGGCTGTCTGTACTGGAGGGTCAATGTTTTCCTGCCCCTTCTCATCATGGCCACCCAAGCTGGCTGCCTCGTCATCATCCAGGGCCCCAGCCTCCTCCTCCTCCTCTGTACCCAAGACCTCCTGTAGCTCCGTCTGAGGAGACATGACAAGTTAGGACCTTGGAGCCCTCATACCCACGATAGGATCTCACATGGCCTTCTCCCCCAGCAATATTTCCCAATGTCAGCCACTGTATCTGAAAGTGTTACTAAACACTCCTTTAATCTGACCAAGGAGAGCTTTGAAGCAAACTCCAAATCTGAGACTCCCCCACTGCAGAGCTTGGACCAGAGATCAAAGGAGACTAGCCTCATACTGTTCAGTTAGGAAAACTAAGGCCTGGGAAGAGCAGGGCACTGACTCCAAGCCCAAGCACACAGAGGGAAAACCCCGGCCTTCTCTCCACACCCCTCTCCTCCACCAGGCCCAAGCTTGACCAGGAGCCCTTGGACACCAGCCTGGTAGGACGTACCAGCAGGTCTGCATCCTCCTCCAGCCCTTCCTCTTCCTCCTCCTCCTCCTCCACATCCCGCATACAATCCGCTGCCAACTTCTCAATGTCAGCCATGGGCAGAGGGGCTAGGGGAAGAGGGTCACAGAGGGTCAGGGAAACACAAGAAAGGTCCAGGATGAGTAAAGGAGGGTTTTCAATCCATTGGTCTGGGCAGACACACCCAGGAGACCTCTTTTCACTCCCACTACCAAAGTCCCACCTGGAAAACTCCTGCTCATCCCTTACAACCCAGGTCAAAAGACCTCATCAGGGAAATCTTCCTGGGCTGCTCCCTTTCCTCTTTGGCTGCAGTACTCACATACATATCCATCTATTCCCCCAGCAGCACCTTTCACATCTGTAAAGACTTTTAAAGTTCATTTGAACTTCACAACAATTCTGCAAGATTGGTACCATTATCCCGGTTTTATATGTGAGTGAACTAAAAGCTACCAATGTTAAATTTTACTCACATCACAATCTGTGTAAGAGGCAGAGCCAGGATTCAAACACAGGCACATCCCACACCAAACCAGAGTTGGACTAAGAAGGAGGTAAGGGCCCAGTGGTTCTCCCAGACCAGTGAGCTCTTTCCAGGTCCTCCACTGCCCTTTGCTCAGAGCCATAGGGGATGGGGTGGTACCCTCTGAGGGGTTCCTGGGAGAAGTGAGGAAGAGCTAAGGCGCCCTGATGCTTCCAGGCCTCAGGCCCCTGTCCCATTCCAGGCTGAGGGTGATTCCACTTACTCATTCATTCAACAATTTCTGTGTATTCACTCTGTGCCCAAGTCAGTCCTTGCTAAGTGAGCCCCTCAACACTAGGCCCTGGTTAGGGCTAAGCAGGGAGACACCAAGGCTAAATAGGGAGATACTAGGTAGTCTTTCTGAGAATCAGACTTGTCCGCAATGGGGACAGGAAACCCAGGGAGGGAATGTGTGAGCAGGGCAGGCCAGCCTCTGGATGGGCGTGCTACAGAAGGGCCATGGAGGCCAGAAGGACTAGGTTATGTGGCTGGCTCACCTACCGCCAGGCTGCACCCATCTGGTCCTAGCACCAAGCCTAGCCCAGTGGCAAACTCACCCTGCCCCTTGGGTGCTGGCTTCTTGCCTGGGGTCCCCGCCTCTCCGGTGAGGGCCAGCAACTCTGCCTCCAGGTCCCCATCATCTTCAGTCTCTTCCATTCCCAGCAGCATGTCCTCAGGGTTGAACTCCACAAACAGCCCCAGCTGAGTGCAGAGAGGGGTTCTTAGGAACCACACAACGAGGCAGAGACAGGGCCCAGCCCCTGAGCCTGATTCCGGGCTCCTGATGATGAAAGGGTTGGCCTCTTTCACTACCTGTGAGACCCTCAGGGAAACCGAGGCCTGAGCCATTACCCCTCACAATACTTATCTCCTAGTGACCCCACAAAGAACCCAACAGATTACAGTCCCATTATTATAACTAATCACAACACCAACAACGGCTGCCAGGCATCAGCTCAGTGCTCAATATGATTATCCCAGTTAATTCTCACAGCTCTAAGCACCAGGTCCTATTTTTATCTCTATGTACAGATGAAATCAAGACAGCCCAGTGAGTGGCAAAGCCAGAATTTAAAATAAGGTCTTTGTGACTTGAGTTTAAGCGCTTCACCCCACCACCTCCCTTACCTTAAGACAATAAAAATAGACTAAGACACCAAAGGGCTTGGGCCCAGAATTACAGGAAGAAATCAGAGGACAGATTTGCTCAGTCTCCTACATGGGCCATGCCTCTGTCCCTAGCCCCAGCCACAGCCTTCCAATCCTGGCATCCTTGCTGGCAAGCTGTGACTCTAAATGAAAAACCCATAGAGTGATGAGGCCCCCTGAGAATACCCTGGACTTGGGTGGCTCCTGAACCCTCCAGGCCACTCACACGGAGGTGGTCAGTGCAAGAGAATGCCTAGCTTGAAGGTGTGCCCTCCCTCACTGTGAGTTTAGGCCTCATCGCCCTGCCTGTGTGTGGCAGGGGCTAGTCAGAGGGTCTGTGAAGGCTCTGCCAACTTTAGGAGGCACTAATTAGTCCCCTAATGGGGAAACCACACCGGTGATACGGTTTGCCCAAGCTCTGTCTAGAGAACCTCTCTCCCCTGGATGGCCCAGGGGAAAGAAGCTAGAGCCGTACCTGCTTGGCCGTTGCCACACCCTGGCCACTGGCCTGAGGACCCTTTCGAGGTCTGGGGCCTGGCATCTTGGCAGCTTATCTGGTGGGAGGGGAAGACAGTCTCAGACTGGAGCAGCCTTCAAGCCACGCCCAACAGTGCTTTCTTGTGGTAAGGTGTGATTAGTAAACTTTCAACTCATAAAGAAAGAAGACAATGCTTAACATCAAGGGATGGAATCCTAATGTTGGAATTACAGGGGAGATAGAAAGGGACAGATAGGGACTGGATAGAAACGGATGGATGGGGAATGCCTGGTAATGGGTTCATATGATACATGGTTTCCGAACTAACTGAGGAACTTGGGTCAGACCCAAAGAAGTTGAATGGAGAGAGGCCAAGGAAGGCAGACTCGGAGAAGTACCTTTCGGTACAGGGTGGACAGGAGGCCGGGTAGGATTCTGAAGGGATCTAGAGGGGCACTGTCCAACATGGTAGCTACATATAGCTATTTAAGTGTAAACTTTAATTAATTATAATTGTTGTTGTTATTTACCGTCGAGTCAGACCCGACGCATAGTGACTCCTCCTTGGGTTTCCGAGGCAGTATCACTACAGAAGTAGATTGCCCAAATTATAATTGAGTAACATTAAAAATCCAGATCCTTGGTCACCCTGGACACATTTCAAGTGCTCAAAAGCCAAGAGTGGCTCGTGGTTTGGGCAGCACAGCACACATGTATTTTCATCATTGCAGGAAGCCCCTTACTAGACAGCACTGCTCTAGAGAAATCTGACAGCATTCTCACGTCCTTGGAGATCTTACAGCCATTCACAGGACCTACTATGTGTCGGGCCCTGGGCCCGACATGTAAGTGGAAAATAAGTCTGACAGACCCTCAGCCCTCAAGCAACAGCTGTATGATAGAGAAAGACTCAGAACAGATCACCACACAGGGCTGTTTCAGGGCTATGGGTGCCCTAAAAGAAAAGACCTCTTGGAGGAGGTGATGCTGGTGTTGAGTCATGAAGAGGCTGGGCGGCAAGGAAGGGGGGTAGGATTCCAAGCAGCCGAGAACCACCTGATAAGGGTTTTTGAGGCCAGAGACATTCTGGCCTGCACAAAGAGAAGACCAATTTGGAGCTTCTGGGCCATGAAATGAGGCAAAAAATGGTAGAAGCAAAGCGGGAAACGTGAGCTGTGCACAAAACAAATTATCTTTAAGCCTAAACGAGTTGGCTATTACTGAGAGCAAAGTGACAGGAACAGGCTGGTGTTTCAGTAACATCCCTCTAGATGCACAAGGGAAAGTGGACAGGATGGAGGACATCAGGAAGGTAGGGAGCTGCCCCCGTATGGAGCATCTGCCAACAGGAAGACAGCAGTGCAGGCGACAGAGGTGAACTGATGGAGTGTGGGGGTGGCTATGGGATGGAGTGAAGTGAATTCCTTAGTTAAAAGGTCAAATCAACAGGACTCCAAGCTTAACTGGAAGGGGGTGTTCGAAAGGGGGCGCCCAGAACGACTCCAGGTGTCAGATTTCGGTGACTTGGGTGAATGGCGGGGCAGTCAACTGAGATGGGACATGGGCTCAGGGAAAGGACGAGGTCGGAATCAGACATGCCAAGTCTGCGGCGCCGGGAGAAACTGGGCTGAGGACATCGGTGCTGGACCCACGCCCCGGCTCAGGAGAGAGGAGTGCAGCGGAGTCCGCAGGTGGGGAGAAGCCGGGGCCCGCACCCCACTGCGGCTGGACCGGCCGCCCTACCCCCAGCTGCCTCCATCTCCCCCGCCGTCCTTTGATCTCCCCTTGCCGGGAAGCAAGTACGCGGCATTACCTCGCGGCAGATCCGAAACCGAAACCGGGCCTTCTGTGGCCCGGCACCGCCCTGGGATCCCGCGGTCCCCGGGCGGCAGGGGCGGTAAGAAGCTCCCGCCCGGGAGGGTGCTCGCGGCTTACCACGTGACTCCACTGGCCGGGCAGCGCGCAGTGCGCATGCGTCGAATCAAGTGGGCGGGGCGTTTCGACAGGTGATTCCAAGGGTGGGGTTCCAAGTGCGCAAGCGCTTCCAAGCAGGTAGTAAGAGTCTCGAGAGAGGAGCTACGGGCGGCTCCTTCGGGACGTCCGGCCGCTTACGCAAATACTGTTTGTGGTTCTCTTCCCCGCCCCCTCGCCTTTTGCAATTTACAACTTCCCCCTCCTTCCCCCAAGCCTTCGCTCTCCCTTCCACTCGGAGGCTCCTGGCTACACCCAGGCCAGGCCTATCCCTATCGATTTTGGGGCGGGGCCAGGGAAGGCTCCGCCCTGGGGACAGCCAAGGGCAGGACATTTCTCACTGCGGCCTTCTTCCTCCTAGCCTTTTCTCACCCTCTCGGTACTTGTTACAACTGACTCTCAAAGCTCACTTTAGTTTTCTTAGTTATATTAAATGTTCCCTTTTTCCAATCGGAAGGAGTGTTGAAATGGACATCATCTGCATTTTACTGAGGAGGAAAAAGGCTTAGAGAAACTTACATGCCCAAGGAAATGCAAAACAAAGCTCTTTATCCTCACCAAAATGCTGTAGTTTGGTGTCTTCCATCTGAAACAAACCTTGCCACTTCATTTACTCTTTCTGCATATCTCCTATCGCATGCTTTTACAACCGTTATTATTATGTTAGTAGTTTCGAAGGTTTTTTTTAGTTTCTTTAGACAGAGCTTTTTTATCTCCTTGCATTTAAGTGATTTCCTAGAAAAATAATTAACTTTGCCATTTTAAAATGGAAGCCTCCCTTTGTTCCTAAATTATTTTTAAATTTTGTGTTGAAATATAACAAAAAGTTTGCCACTAGAACCATTTTTTTAAAAAAATCTTTAATTTGCAGCTGTTTTTATTTATTTATTTTTTATTAGGATTTGGGTGAAGATTTACAGAGTAAATTCACTTTTCATACAGCAGTTCACATATACTTTGTCTCATGTCATTGACCAAAATTTACAA